ACACACCAAAAAAAAAAAATATATATATATATATTTTCTCGGAAGCAGTTTATCCTAAACATTACTTTTCTAGGTCGTCCTCTTAACTCACCCTCCGAGATTTATAGTGCAACCATACCAGTTCAGAGTGGAAAGAAAAAAGGCCAGTTATCTAATCCAATTCCTTGGGGGAAATACTTAGGCAATATTAAGAAATCTTCAATTATCTAATTTAATAAAAGTGATGGTTGCTATTCCATAGTCAGCCACATGTGATACTGATTATTTCTAATCCCTTAGAAGAGAGCTGACATTCTGCTTTTGGTCCTGTATAGCGTGAAATCATCATGTGTATGTTACCAAAAGGAGTCGCAAGAATAATGGCGTCCGCAGTCTGTAGTCATTTTATACTAACACACTGCAACATGGTTCTGCCCTGGGGCAGAGAAGTAGGGATTTTCTCTACTTCAAAAGAATGAAAAATTATCATCCCTACCCAGAACCATTATAGACTTCAGAGACTTTGGCATGAAATATTCAGAAAGTTTATTTTAGAATTCAATATTTTAAAAGCCTGCTTTAAAACTATTACAGTGATTAGTGGCTCTGTTACTTGGGCCAGTCTTTGCTGTAAAACGCCCTCTGTCGTGGTGGATGTCAACAAAATGGACTTTGCATCAACTACAAATGCTCCACGTAAGGAATGTAATGCCTTGTTTTCGAATGCCGTCCCCCCTGCCCCCAACCAGGAACTGTGACCACTACTCATCAGGTATCTTCTCAAACATACTTCTTAAATAAACGTTACTTGTCCAGGTAATGGTCGAAATGTGTCGCTAATGCCGTGCGATGTGAGTTCTCTTACCCTGTGGTGTGGACGCTATTTCTGTCCCTGTCGAGGGAGCAATGGTCCTGTCTCAGCAGTTCTAGGGACACACAGCTGAGGCCACCCACACTCTCAGCCAACCAGCCAGAAGCTCACATCTTCACGGCTTCTCATGGTCAGTCAGCAAAGCTTCCTAGGTGTTTGTGCGGATTTAACAGAACTTCCGAGGCCACAAGTGAAGCCAGTGGAAACATCGGCAGCTAGAGTTAGCCACGTGAAATTGCAACACAACCACTTTTCTCTGGAATATTCTATATAAGTAGAGAGGCAACATGCAATAGAGTGCATAGAGAGCCTTGGTTTGGGAATGTAATGGTCTTTTTTTTTTTTTTCTTAATGTTTGTTTATTTTTGAGAGAGAGACAGAGACAGAGCACAAGTGGGGGAGGGCAGAGAGAGAGGGAGTCACAGAATCCAAAGCAGACTCCAGGCTCCAAGCTGTCGGCATAAAGCCTGATGCAGGGCTTGAACCCACAAACCATGAGATCATGACCTGAGCCCAAGGTGGACGCCTAACCAACTGAGCCACCCAGGCGCCCCTGGAAATGCACCCGTCTTGATCTGAGGTCCGAGTCTGCTCCTTGAGTAGCAGTGTGGTCTTGTGAAACTGGTGTACCGCTCTCAGCTCAGTGTTTCTGTCTGTAAAGTGGACCCATCTGCATCATGCAGACATTCAATGAGACGAGGAGCGTATAGGCAGGACAGGGCAGATATCAATCACTCCCATTATTGCCGCTTATTCCCAAAACGTTTTTCTTCTCTCTCGTTGGTTTATTCCACATTTCTGTTGTGTAATGCATATATATTTATTGACACATCACAGAAAAAACATGCAGGATGACTAGAAGAAGAACATCATTTCTGCTTTTCTTTAAAAACCTGTGCATTTGGCTTCATTCCTTTAAATGTATGGAACATATTGTTTTCGTTGGTTTTAATCAATACCTTTTCCTTTCCGTCCCACCTTAGGTATATCGATGTAGGAAAAAAACAAACAGGCATCACCTTTTGCCTTCAAGTAGGGGCCTCTCCCAAATAGACATGCAAAGCAATAAAGATTCTGGAGTGCTCTTGATGCGTAAGTTTGACAAAAATAACTTGTAAATAGCTAAATAACTTCGCATTTCATTTTCCAGGGAAGTAGATCAAGACTCAGACGATCTTGTGAGTTTTAAAGACTTTGAATATGCCATGAACTATGGACGAAATGAAGCCTAACTATGGTGAACTGCGTTTGGCAACTTCTGGGGAGACAAAGAGATTGTAATGTATATTTCCATGTCAGGCTCCACCCCTCTGCTCTGCTAATGATGTATTAATAAGGTTCCATGCTTGTGATTAAACTCTTGGTCGTGGTTTGCAGATGCTGATACTGCTTGGTTTTTTGTTTTGGTTTGTTTTTTTAATGTTTTTATTTATTTTTGAGAGAGAGAGAGAGAGAGAGAGAGAGAGAGAGAGAGACAGAGCGTGAGTAGAGGAGGGGCAGAGAGAGAGAGGCACAGGATCTGAAGGAGGCTCCAGGCTCTGAGCTGTCAGCACGGAGCCTGACTTGGGGCTCGAACCTACGAACGGTGAGATCGTGACCTGAGCCGAAGTCGGATGCTTAACCGACTGAGCCACCCAGGCGCCCCGATGTGGACACTACTTGTGTCTCAGAATCCTAGAGGGGGTCATGACAGATCATCTTCCATGCGGCCAGCAGCCCTGAGCCACCTTCCCCTTCACTCTCAACCCCCCACACCCACCCACACTACAGGCTCCACTCACTAGTCCTCCCCACTCCACACACGTGCTCCCTGATTCTCAGTGGTTCCTACTGTCTGGAGAGAGGTCACTTTTTTCTGCCAATGGTACCCATTTCCTTCACACATTCAGCTTTGGTCAAACAAGGAATAGCACCCGTGTGTACTGAGCGCAAAGCATGGAGAAAACAAAGACTTAAGATTTCTTTAAGATCTTGTACCCGGTGTCAGAATCATCACTGCAAAGTGTCCCCAGTACAAGATAAAAAAAAACCAGATTGGGCTGACACAAGCAAGCCTTCTCCAGCTCTATGCAGAGGAAGACCAGAGTGTAGGAAGGAAGGATATTGGAGGCCAAAGGTTTATTTGCACAGCCCTCTCGGATGACTTGGGCCTGGGGTTCCTGCAGGGACCCAGCTGCCCCGTGCGGCACACTTCCCGGGTCTGGGTGGCTCTGCCTGCGTCAGGGGCCTTAGCCATCTGTGTTCACACACTCCATCTCCGGCCCGTCCGTATGTGGGATCCGATAATTGCTGCACTGGAACAAAAACTGCGACACTGGACCTTCAGCGCTTTTAAATAAATACTGGTATCAGTGCCGGTATTTTGTCTGTAAGCGTTCAGAAATCATAGCATGAACGTTAGGAAAACATCGAATATAATTCCCAGTTTAAAAGTAGTACGTGTTTAGGGGTGCCTGGGTGGCGCAGTCGGTTAAGCGTCCGACTTCAGCCAGGTCACGATCTTGCGGTCCGTGAGTTCGAGCCCCGCGTCAGGCTCTGGGCTGATGGCTCAGAACCTGGAGCCTGTTTCCGATTCTGTGTCTCCCTCTCTCTCTGCCCCTCCCCCGTTCATGCTCTGTCTCTCTCTGTCCCAAAAATAAATAAACGTTGAAAAAAAAAAAAATTAAAAAAAAAATAAATAAATAAATAAAAGTAGTACGTGTTTAAAGATCAAGTAAAACCGTACATTTGCAAAATAGAAACATTAAACACGCATCGATCTATCACACACTATTACCAAATACACTTAACAACCGGGCCTTAAACTGTTATAAGTCAAAGGAGCCCAAGGAGACAAAACAATATAATGTGATGTTGTTAGAATAGAAAAAAAGGACATTAGGTAAACACTGATAACGAATGGACTTTCGTTAATAGTAACTACTATCTTCACAATTTTTCTGTGAAGCTAAAACTGTTCCACAATAAAAAGGTTGTTTAAAAAATCTTATTCTGGGGCACCTGGGTGGCTTAGTCCGTTAAGCATCCGACTTCAGCTCAGGTCATGATCTCGCGGCCTGTGAGTTCAAGCCCCGTGTCGGGCTCTGTGTTGACAGCTTGGAGCCTGGAGCCTGCTTCGGATTCTGTGTCTCCCTCTCTCTCTGCCCCTCCCCTAATCGCTCTCTGTCTGCCTGTCTGTGTGTCTCTCTCTCAAAAGTAAATAAACATTAAAAAAAATAAAAGATCTTATTCAGAAATTAAACTAAACATTATCAAAAATGAAGAAAATTTTGAAAATCATTGAGAAGTACAAATGAAATATTGTTTCAAAAACAAAGAGGATCCAGGGTATCTTCGAGTATTATGTGTGTTTTAATTTTTTTTTTTAATGTTTGTTGAGAGAGAGAGACAGAGAGAGAGAGAGAGCTTGCGTGGGGGAGGAACAGAGAGAGAGGGAGACACAGAATCCGAAGCAGGCTCCAGGCTCTGAGCCATCAGCACAGAGCCCGACACGGGGCTTGAATTCATGAACCGTGAGATCATGACCTGAACTAAAGTCGGATGTTTAACCAACTCTGCCACCCAGGCACCCCTAGTATCGTGTGTTTTAGTACACATTGTTCCAGCTGATGGCAAGTCCTCTCTGACTCTGGATAAGAGTTTTGTTCAGGAAGTCTTTTCATCATAACTTAAATGGTTGAGTCATTGGTCTTCATCTCCATATGTAAGTGATACTGATTTTTAGATTTTTTCAATATCAAAATTAGAGTAACCCACCAACAAAGCACCAGTATTTCAGTAATTGTCAGAATACCACAACCTCGTATTGCAGTCTATTTTGACCTCATTTCTCCTGGGAAACATGACAACAGAAAGAGAGGATTCACTTTCTCCAGTTGCTTTGGGAGGCAAGAGGCCAGGCTGGGAATAGCTATCAGGCAACTCCCTTGACCCTGGATTAGTCCAGGCTTTTTTCGGTCTCAATGACAGAAACCTAGTCAAACTAGCTTAGATGGAAAGGGAACTTACTGGGAAATACTGGGCTAACTTAGGGAGGGCAGTGGTACAGCTGAGTTTCGAGATAACTAGAACCTGCAGTGCGAGTACCTCCGGACTCTGCCCCTGTGCCATAAGCACCGTCGGCTTCACACTGTTCCAAAAAGCAGTCGTCCCGTGATCTGGCCAGTTCCAAGTCCAAAGACCTCAGAAAGGAGATCTGGTTGGCCTCTGGATCAGTCAACTCTGGTTCCTCTAGAGGGTATAGACATGGTCACTGGGCACTCCCAGGTGTACTGAGGGCTGGTCACAGGGAGCAGAAGTTGATAAAAGCTAGACAGCCATTCCATTTTCTTTCTTAGAAGAATTTGCACCTAGTCTAGGATGGAGAGCCCCCCCTCCCCCCCTCCCTAAGGATTTGCTGCTTAGGAGGATCCAGGCTCTGGGAGCAAAGACCAAAAAGAAAGGGGAGGTGAGAAGCTGCTCATGTCACCTCCCCCTCCTTATCACTCCCCCTAGGCCCAATCCAAATCATCCTGTAAGCTTTCCCCTCAGCTTCTCACTTCCAGGCCCCAGTCCTGACCCTCATCCCCAGGCCACAGGATGCTGTCTGTTTAGTGTGACCTTGTTGGTCTACCCTCCGTTGAATGGTCCAAGGGTGGGCATTTATGCAAGTTGATCAACTCTGTTCCTTCCCTTGGAAGACATCAAGAGCGAGAGTGAGTGATACATAGCTGTGCTCCTCTGAGTGGCTGAGCGGGTGGTTATGACTCAGGAGCAAATGGCAGACATGTTTTCCACCACGTGGCCTGGAAAACTGAGGCAGCTGGTTTGCAATGAGGGCAGAAAATGAACTAGTGAGAAGAGAACAAGAAAGAAGCTGGGGAAACCCTTTGATACTTGGTTTCTGGTGAAAGCTTGTGTGCAAAGCCCAGTCATAACCCTTTGGGTCCTATGAGGTAACGCTGTATCCCTCCAATAAATCTTTCTCCTCAAGCCAGCTGGAGTTGCTTTCTGTTATTCGAAACCAAGAGAACCCTAACTGTTTATAAGCATAGAGCCAAGGACAGAGTCCTAGGTAACATCAACATTTACTGGGGCAGCAGAGAAAAGAGTCTTCTAAAGAGACTAGGAAGAAGTAGTTGAAGATGGAAGAGGAAGCTGTCTGCACTTCTCTCTCCAACACCCAAGCCTCTACTTGACCTATCACCATAACCAGTTTCAGTCTTCCCTTGTGAGAACACTTCTCAAAGAGCTCACTGGTGATCTCCTAAAGGCCGAATCCACCGGCACCTCTGAGACCTCACTGTACTCGTCCCTTCTCCTGGGCCCCTCTCTCTTCGGTCTCCATGACATCACCCTCTTGTGGTAGTTCTGTGCCCATTTTTCCTACTGTCTTTTACTGATCCTTCTATGGCCTCCCGTAAGTGTTTATATTCTCCGTTCTCCTGTAATTGGCCAGTCTTCCTGACCAACATTCTCCAAGGATCATTTCATTTGCTCTCGAGACTTCAGCTAACACCTTGATGGCTGTGACTCCACAAACAAATCTTCATCATTAGTCTTGACCTCTGCTCAGCCCAGACCTGTGTTTTCATTTGCCTGTTGGACATTTCCACCTCAATTACAAACTCATTGAACTAAAACCAGACTTGTTGTTTCCTCTAATTTTCAAAATTGGTTTCTCACTCTGCTTTTTCTATTTCTGTTCATGGCAACCACCCGGCCACCCACCCGAGCTGTCATCCAAGCCAGCTGCCTCGGGGTTCTTTTCAAGTCTCCCCCATCTTCCTCCGCTCTGACACTCAGCCAGTCGCTGAACCCATCTGTGTCTGTGTCTGCAGTAACTCCATGCCATTGTCTCCTATCCCATCACGGTCTCCCCCACTGCGTTCTGATTCCCACCCCCATTCGTTGCTCTTATCATTGGTATAAAGAAGAGTAAAGGATGTGCTGATAAGTAAGAAACAGACCCGGCTGTCAGGAAATTTTGTCTAGCATGTCCATTATCTTCCCAAAGCACAGACAATATTATTTTTTCTCCTCTCAAAAGCTTTTAGTAGCCACCTTTTCTACTGGATAATGTCTCTACCTTTAATATGTCATCCAAAGCCCTCTATAGTCAGGTCTCAACTTACACATTCAGCTTCATCTTTCCCAATACCTCTATCCTCCCATCCCACAACTGGGTGACTCACACATGCATAGTCCCTTGGCCCCCAAACACCAAAATGGCCCCAAATAGGAAAGTAACAGATAGCCTTAGAATTCATCTCTGATGAGAATATAGGAAAATGCAACTATAAAATAATAAGATTCAGTTAAGGAAACATTGAGCCACCTTCATCCTAATGAGTATTTCTCCCTCACGGTTGTC